TCTTGAAGAATATTAACGAGTAATAGTGGTTTCCACTCCGCATCATGACCTCTATACCGTAAATGTTGATAGGTGAATCTTCGGAGCGATCGAGCGTTGCTCAAGAAGCCCGCAAGGATTCTCGAAGCGAATACACTCCCTACAATAATGATCTCTGTGGCTGCGACATCAATAAATTTTGGAGTCGGTGGCCAGATGCCGACATAATCCGGGTAGAACATATTCGACACTCGAATGGTTTCGATCGAGGGCAAAGCAGACAGTAGGACAAGATCTCGGATGCGAGCACTGTCCAATGTATCGCCAGTGGGTGAAATGTCAACTCGGGCGAGCTTGCTGAAGGCTTGAGACGATTTGGCATCCGACGGCACCTTGGATTGCACCTGCTGGATTTTGTAGATCATTTTTCGGACATTGCTATACAGGAACAAGCGCTGGGTGACATTGAGGGTCTGCAGGTTCGGAAACAACGTCAGTAGCAGCGCGATAGCTGCATCGGGGTTGCCGTGCTGTATCTCGCTTTCCGGGTCGGCTGGCTCTTCCGGGTCGGCTGGCCGCTCTCGCCGCAGATATGGACAGTGGGTTATCACGTCGTAAATCCTTTGGGTACAGCGCTGGGCAACCTGTAATGATACGGTATCAGGATCGAGGTAGTACGGGCTTTGCATAGGCTTGATGCTCCAGGAGCGAAGGTTGATCACACCGGGGTAATGAGCGATGCGAGGTTCGAGCAGCACGTCTTGAAGGAGCACAAAAGGATGGATCACAGTTCGATCTTCGGGGGCGGCATCGTCGAAAGTGATGGTGGTGTATTTGTCTTTGAAGTTTCTGTGCTGCTTGATCTTTTTTTCGGCTGATTCATGCATTCTCTTGCAGCATGCTGAAAGGCTCTCCAAGTCATCTGGGTCTGTGAGGTCAACAACATGAGAAAGTAGCTCGTTGGGAAGACCTAAAATCGTCACCATGTTACGGGAAAGAGTGTGAAGGTTTCTGAAGATGAGATTGAGGGATCTTCCATCTATACCTGTGCGGGGTACCAATTATGAGAAAAAGTCTCCATAGGATACCCGCATGGAGCACGGTCCACCGATCGCTCCATTTGCCACTATTGTCGTCGGAGATGAGTATCTCAGAGCTCAGTCTGGTCCACTTCACATCTGAGAGTCCAAGTAGGGTCCCAAGACTTTGAATACTTGTAGGACAAGTCCTGAACCCGTCAATGATATCCAGTTGCTGAAAGCTGCCTCTCATAGACTGCTGCACAAAGTCTTCGTCGTCACTACGGGATGCAGGTGGGAGGGGTAGCTTCGGTGAAAGCATCGTCAGATGTTCTAGTTTTGTCGATTGTGGGATGGCAAGTTAAGTAGGTGCTTTGGGCGCCGCAATTGTTCACGTAAGGCATCATAGTTCGCAAGAAAGTAGCATTAGGATACCCCAGATCTGTACTCGTACAAGAAGGGAGGCCCTAAGAAATCGTCGTATCGCTGATAATATTTGGACATTCCTTACTGGCATCCGTGGTATATCTACATAGGAAGAATCTGAAAAGTGAAATGAATTCAATGGATTGAAAAGATCTACGGAGAGAGTGAAAACAAGTTTGCTACATAATTGCTTTCTGCGAAGCGCAGATTGCACATGCAGCATACCGCGACAGGCTGATTCTATTCTAGCTCAGCATACATCCTGACTACATCTAACAGGTTCCTAGAACTAGGAGCTTCTAATCAAGCAGGTACAATCCGCCAACTGACATGGCCAAGGTCTCGGTGCTCTGTCATGCACTGGCGCATTCATCTACCAGCCGTCCACCCTTTGAAGGCCGCTCTTACAGGTGACGATGGTGGTGTCAATGGAGGGGAGCCGTGGTGGCAATAAATCTGCCCAACGACCAGTATCGCTGGGGGTTGAGGTCTATAGAGGCCGATCAGGGTGCTCACGTAGTCGAGCTCATACGAAGCCTGACCAGTCTCGGCTGGATCAGGCGAGGTTCTATTGTTTCCAGGGATCTGAAGTCCTTTCCTGAGCTGATGTGTGATCGACGGGAAGCTTTTGCGGACTTATATACCTCCAACAATGTCGTCTTTCGACGGATTTCGGAAGGTTGAACCAAGGAGGTGGTGCAAGTCTTTCCTTTCTCCATCCCCGCTTAGAAATCTGACGAGGTTAGTGAGAGCCGAGAAAACGAGGGACAGTCGATCTCACCGTCGGGTCCGCTGGCCTCGGGTGCGAGTACCTTATGTGGGAAGGGTTCAAGTTTCTACTGTTACAGCGATGGCTTTCGCACACGGTACTCCCAGCTGAGGCTATCGTTTCTTGGGATTCGAGATTGGTTCTCATGTGAAGATTTGGGCAGCTAGAAAAGTGTCCAACCAGCCAATGAATACCTTACTCGTGTTGATCCGTTCCCATCCAGGGGATTGCTTCCCTCTCTTTTCAACATCGTGCTTTTTGATCCAAAGAGATGGTCAATGCACCAAGCTTTCAGGCCACAGTCCGCTGGAAGCAGTTCCGAGCTTCTCCATCAAGCTTTCCTTTCGTTACCCACCAAGGATCTAATGCATCACAAGTTCACAACCAGTCTTGGTCAGGAGTCTGTAACATGTGATTTGATTAATCGTAATGAGTAAAGGAGGCACAATAGGTCCGATGAAATCTTAGTCAGAGCGTTTCAAAGATTAGGATGCTAGAGAGCACGTTCGATATGCTCGCATCCCACCTTGTCATAGTCCGATCGGACTGTTGAACGTCGACTTCGAAGCTAACCGTATTCAGACATTTACCGTATGCGTAAGGCTGACCAGGATTCAAGAGCGCGTCCCGCCCGCGCGCGTTGGAGCAACGAGTACGACTGAACAACTCTGCCTCACCCAAAATAAAAATGCAGAAAAATTGGAGCTGTAGGAGCTGATTGGTCCGCCTCAATGTAGCCGGATCATGTTGCTTACATGGCGAGCGTCGACACTAGTACTATTCTGCTGCTTTCGACTCATACATCTCCCATTCGTCGGAGCTTGCTCTTCCTTTCCAAATTATATATCTTGTTCTTCATCACGCTCTCCCTCCGAGTTTCTTGATCGAGACTACGTCCCAGATGTCGAATCTACAATGACAGAGTCCAACGTGATGAATGATACCCTCCCGGAAAGCCTCCGCATCCTTTGCTTCGGTGACTCCTTGACAGCCGGCTACACAAGTTATGGTTGGGAATGGTATCCATACGCTGACCACCTCCGTGTGGCACTCCAGCATATGCTGTCGACGTCGGACATCGAGGTCGATGTCGCAGGACTTTCTGGGGATCAGGTTCAAGGAAGCTACTTGCCGCGTATCGAAGCGAAGTGTGCAAATACTGAGCCACCTTACGATTGGATCGTAGTCATGGGAGGAACGAATGACCTAGCTTGGGGCCAACAGCCAGATACGATTTATGAGGGACTGAGTGAGCACTCCCAGCCACTTCCTCTTCATCCCGCTACCTTCCTATCCTTATTTGGATGAACATCTCCTCGTCATGTACTCCTCGCCCGCTTCAAGGCAGTACGAGTGCTAATTAGATCATTGCAGAGAAAGTGTGGAAGGTGGCATTGGACACCGGAGCAAATGTGCTTGCGCTGAACGTACTAGAAGCCGAGGGCTCAGGCGACAGAGAGAACTCGAAGCGGAATTCCCTGAACAAAATGATTGCCAATCATCATCAAGAGAGATGGTCAGTCCGTTCTTGCTTTACCAGCCTTCTCTGACGGACCATATCTTGAGCTCCCTGCTTTCGTGCTCGTAAAGGCTGACCATACCATTCAATAGTTATTCCTTCGATCTCTACAGCGCGATCCGATACACAGGTATTGACAAGGATTTACGCAAAAAGCTGTGGGATGACGGACTGCATCTCACATCCGAAGGCTACAAGGTTATGGGCGATGTCATCGCTGTTCGAATGTTTGAGCTTTTGAAGATGACCCAGCAGCCGAAGAACATTGGCCCAATACGCGATTGATTAGATTGAACTCCAGACCCCGAGAAGATCTTCATTTCAAACGCTCTAAATTCTGGAAATTGCATATCGTTGTGCCATTCCTCGCTTATCGGAGGGTGCATTCTTCAAGCCACTACCAATTCCACTTTACGCGGTTCCTTCTCACGCGTCGAACCATTTGAAGTCGCGATATTCTCCAACATCTCTCTACGTTCGCATTGAGCGCTTGCTGTAATTATCCTCGCCCTATTCTGTTAATTCGCTCGAGCCAACGATGATCACATATAGCGTTGCAGCATTACTGCTGGCTTACCTGAGAGCGGTGCAAGCTCAAGCGACAATTTGCCTAGCAACGTATGGGGGGGTGGCAACAAGGTACATCTCCAGGGCTACAGAGCTCAAGCAATTCTTCCTTGAGCTTCCGAGCAGTTGGTCGTGCATACCCCAGCGCCCAGGCTTGCCTAGCAGATATTTTGAGATCGTGCTAACGTCGTGTGAGTCAGTGTACCTCCGCCCGGACGAAGTTTTACCGTCCAAGTCAGCCCATTATCAAGTCCATTCGATAATGGAGATCCTGGCTCGGGCTACCTCGACTCGGCCGGCCTACTTGAAGCACGTTGCCAAAAAGCGTCAACCTTTACCCTGAGTAGCGGGTTCCTATATTCAGGAGGTGATCAAGTATCTGTTGCGCCAGGGGTGCCGTTCATGCTTTTCAGGGCGTCTGAGTACGTGGAAGCGATAGATAGCATCTTCGCGGTAGACGAAGCAAGAGGAATAATCGTTTGGAACAATGAGGCTTTTTCAGGCGGCACAGCCAGATTCTGTGCTGATCCGGCTGGCGCTCTCTATGGAGTATTCTTGGGCCCTCTGCCAGGAAATTGCACGGCCACTGAGCTAAGAGTTCAAGATCGTAAGTTGGTCAAGACGAGCCCGTGGCCACCGGAGATCTGCATTGTTCTCGCTGACCACTGATCTGTCTTCCTTAACAGCTGCCCCTTGTCCAAACTTGCCAAGCCCTCTAGTCATGCCTACGTATTTCGGCATCAATCAAACATCCCCAGTGGGACCAACGGCCAGCCTGAGTGGACCACGGAGGCAACCACAGCCGCAACTACAGCCACCTCCAGCCGGCTCTTCCTCGGATCTCAATATTTCATCGACTGCGTCATCTCTACTTTACAGTCCATCTTCGAGTCTGGGCAATTCTTCTAGCACTGTTCCCATCCCCCCTTTAGCTTCCAGCAACTCTTCCGCCATCTCTTCGATTTCCAGTACCTCACCCAGTGTATTTTCGAGTTCTGTCACCTCTAGGGGCTCTTTCATCGCTTTTACAACATTTACCCTGAAAAGTGCCAGCACTACGTTGGTGTCGAGTTCCAGCACCGCGCCAGCATCGAGCTTCAGAGACCCAATCGCGCAAGCCAGTTCTATTATTTCTCAGGACAGACTCACGGTATGGTGCACTGAGGTTCTTGGGTATACTGTTCCTCCCCAAATCACGGTCACCATCGTCTCAAATGTCTCAGCTACGTCCCTTGTGACTACAAGACCAACCGACGATACGACGACAAATTTTGCGACCCTGACTTCGACTGCCACTCAAAGCATACCCTCTTTTGATATCACAATATCAACAACACCCACTGTTACCGGTACCGTCACTACCACGGATGAGGTTGTGGTATCTGCAAGTACCACAGTTGTAGGCCCGTCACTCGGTGCTAAAAAGCGTGGTTTGCCATATATGCCCGGGAAACCATATCCTGTCGATGAACAGCAACCGCGACTTATAGGGGCCAGCTATAACGTGGCATCAGCCGGTAGCAATAAGACATTAGCTAGTAGCGGTACTTTACCTGCCAGCAGCTATGTCATATTAACCAACAGTTACGCAACAGCGGTGAGCAATCATGCACCATCAGCTAGCAATTATACGTCGCTAGTCAGCAGCTATGCAACATCAGTTAGGAGCAACGCAACAGCTAGCTTGAACGCAACGGCCAGAATCAATGCAACATCAGCCATCAGCAATTCGACAGGATTGAGAACCATCACGACACCAGTGGTCCTGCAGACCTTTAATCCTAGCGTTATCAACGCAGCATGCTCCCAGAACATCGCCATGCCGACGCCTCTCCCCAGTGTCACGACTTCCATAACCACCACCTTTATCCATACACACTACATCGAGCAACCGTACGCAACACTGAACACGACCTACATCATAGCCACCGACACCACCATCAACAATGGCAACTACTCCACAACAGTGACCGGGACTCCAGTAACGAACGACATCACAGATGCGGCTACAGCAACCTCAACAATCACCTCGACCATCGTAGTATTTCCCAGCAACGTTCCCGCCCTGATCCTTACCTCCGCCGTCCCCTTGGGCCCCTTCAGTGCAGGCGGCGCCCCGCCGCCAGACATAGACGACGCAGCCTACGAGCTCACCCTGCCCTTCCAAATGCGCATGTTCGACCACTCCTCTGAAATCGTATGGGTCTCAACCAACGGAGTCAGTCCCCCCACACTCCCACCACATCCACCCGCCCTCCCTCCCCCACTAACCCCCCCCCCCCCCCCACCAGATCCTCTCCCTCGACAACGGCACCCGCGAATACGACAACGAATGCCTTCCCTCCATCGGCAACGAAGACTACCCCTCCGACCCCGTGCCCCCCTACTCCGCCTTCCCCTACTGGGACGACACCTACATCTACGCCGGCCAGCCCCAGGGCATCTACTACCAGTACGGCCACGGGCCCACGAACAACATCACCAGCGCGCAGGCCGGCGCCCCGCCCGCCACCAACGTCACCTTCGAGTACTACCTCAGCCACTGCTGCGGCAACGGCGACGGCGGCAACGAGAAGTATTACCACTACACCGTCTTTTACGACAGCCTGAGCCCCGGCATCTTCACCTATCGGTATTATCAGATCAGCGCGGACGGGGCTAGCGCTACGGTCGGGATGCAGGATTATGGTGCGTGCGCCTTCTTTCTTTCTTTCTTTCTTTCTTTCTTTCTTTCTCCCCTTTCATCTCACGTTCCACCCCCCCACTCTAGCACGTCCAACGTTTCCCCCCCGCCCTCTAGCACGTCCAACCTTTCCCCCTCCCCCTTGAGTATCCGTTCCCACATCGCTGACGTGTGGGGTTTTTGCGCCGTGTGCAACAGTCGCCGACACGGCACTGACGTATTCCTGCAACGAGGCCATCGTCACGCCGGGTCTGGAGGTCGTGCTCAATTCCATCATCGGGACGGTGCAGCATCGGAATTTCTCGGTGGCTGCTTCGTGAGTGGGTCGGGAGTGGAGGTGGTGAGGGGGGGAGGCGGTGGAGGGGGAAGTGGGTAAGTGAGTGTGGTTGTGGGGGGTTTTATGGGAAGGGGGGGGGGGGGTAGCTGAGTGCAGTGTGATTGGGAGCAAAAGGGGCAGCAAATGATTTCATGACTTTCATCCATTTCCCGGAAAGAAAGGAAAAGAAGAGGAAAGAAGAGAAAAGAAGAGAAAAGAAAAGGGATGTTTAACTTTCTTCTGGACAGTTTAGAATAATCATAAGGGTTTCTTTCCGGACGGAACTTTTTACGTGGTCGTACTTTGATCCATCGATCAAGCATTTCGTTCGTATCGCCAATTTAAACCCTCTTCTCCTTCTACGCTACCGCTCCCATCCATCGTCAAACTCATTGCCGCCAAAACATCTATTCGCAGCCCCCAAACGGGACGACCTCCCCTCTGCCGCCCCTCCCCCCCTTTTACCACCTCACGCCCCTCCGTCCAAACAGCCGCACCAGCCCCGTAGCCAAGAATCTTCCTTCCACCACGCTCAACCCTCCAAACCGCTTCACCACCTCCGCGCCATACCAATCACTGATGCTCGAAAAGTTCGGCCAGATCATGGGCCGGCTGTACGGCCTCGACGTCGGGCTCCGCCCGGATCTTCTCGTGTGCGCCGAGGAGCACGGAAGAGGGCCGCTCGCGGGGGCGGGTGTAGTGGTCGAACGTCACCGAGTCGCCCCGTTTTGGCGCTTCGCACGGCGCGCTCTTTCTGCGCTTCTTCTTCTTCTTCTTCTTCTTCTTCTTCTTCTTCTTCTCTCCGAGGTATGGTTTGGCCATTCTGTCACGGGTCGGGAGTCGATGGAAGCGTTACTCGTATCTGAGAGACCGGCCGTCCGGCTCGTGTCGGGGTCGCGCCTTGACTTTCGGTAAGGTTTCGGAGACGGAGGGGGCGTGGTTCGTTTGCTCTAGGAACATCATAGGGGGGGTTGGGCTTGCTTCCTTTCTGCCGGACCGACAAGGCTTTGCATCCTTCCGCTAGGGTTCTCAGCTTTCTGCGGAAGACCGGACGCTGCGGCTGCTGGAGAGAGCAGGGAGTTTTTGTTTTGCTTCGAAAATGGCACGCCTTTCATTTTGATGTCGGTGATGGATCGCAAAGGTCTGTGCGAGCTCCCTGATAGACTTCATGATCTTGACACCGGCGACGATTGCTGACGCTGGGGCGAAGGAATCAGTGCGACTCTCGATGATAGTGAGTTAAACTCGGTGGTGCCAAGTGGGGAGGTCTGCGGCCGTGTAGATTGCCGTGCCGGTGTTAGTATGGAAGTGAGAAGAGTTGGATAGACTCGAAGTTGCTGATAAGATGAGAACTCTCTTCAAAGTCCACGGTCGTCTGCGTGAGTGATGTGATAGCCGATGGGAGAAAAGCTCACGATGAGTTCTGGCACCGGAAAGAGCGGTGATGAGGGGCTTGTCGAGCAGCAGGTCGTTTAAGTTCGTTGATGGGTTTTGACTGTAAACAGATTGGGTCGAATATCCGGGAGTTTGGAGCCGAAAGCACAGTGAAGAGATTCTTGGTGGTAGTGGGGCGGGTGAATGGATTTCTGCTTGCTAAGATGGGGTGCAAAGACCCCAGATTAGACGCACGGCTGATGAGTAGGAAGTGATGGAGTCTGAGGTGATGTTGTTTCCGAATATTTGCTTCGACTTGTCCAGAGATACAGGTTTGTGCCTCTTGGGAACGCAAAGGTTGCCAAATTGATGACGGTTGGTATGGGAGAGAGATAGTCTGAGGTATGGAGGTCGGAAAGTCTGGAGTGAAGGGTATCGGAATGTCCTATATTTACAATCGGACTTTTGACGCCAAGTCTTGTCTATCTGTATCTTTCTTCGCGCTTGGAATTTCGACAGGCGACCACTCAGCATGTAAAGTCTGGTATTCCATGCACGTCCATCTGTGCCCCTTCTCGTCTGTTGGGCGTGCTAGTCTCTGCAATCGCATTGTAAACTGGCGTTAGACACACAGAATGTCTCGATGGACACGATGATTGCTCCCCTTCATGGCCCCCAACATCCTCAGAAGCTCATCCTGCAATCCTTATTTCCGTATCTTGGAATCTCCAAATGTATCCGTACCCGGCAACGTCCTTCTCTTGAGCATGCTCCCCAGCCACAGCACCAAAGTCTGTTCCATCATCTTCCGCGCATCCAACCGGCGAACAAATCCCTCAGTTGGAAGGGAGCACGTATTCAGCCCTTAACCGCCTCTGATCTTCCTTGTATTCTAGTCCAGCCGCGGTCCATCGACCCTCTCCCAAGCCGGAAAGAGCATCCTCTGCCACCACCTCAAAGTCGGCGATGACTGTGTGGGCCCATCCCCTGCTCTTCAGACAGACCTCGAGATCCCTCCAAGCCTAGGTCCGACCTTCCCCATCTCCCAGTAACAATTCGATCTCGCTCGCCTTCATCTCGTATTGCATCAGCGAGTGTAGCATCCAGCAGAGTACCCCATCCGTCAAGAGAAGCATTGCCAATACTGCTGGAAACGGACGCATGCGGAGGGTGGATTCGCGGTGGAGAAGAGGCCCATGTCGTGCCTCAGGAGGGGTAGGGTAAAGTCAAGGGTAGGACGAGCTGTCAAAAGCAGAGGGCGAGGGAGGAGTTGAGGAGGAAGACTTCGGTGCAACAAGGTTCGTTGCAGTCTGAGTGAGGCAGTCAGCTGTTGCTCCATCTAAAAAGGGGAATATGCTGAGGAGTAGAAGGAGGATATAACCACCTCGCAGAACTTGCTTGAAGTCCCCTTGACGGTACGGAGGGAGAGAGACCCAAGAGGATCTGGCAAGCACTGTGGCTCCTACCAAGTCGCACTCATCTCCGGGCGGGTTGCCGCAGGTGAAGGTCATGCCACCCTGAGGCTTTGGCAGTTTCCGTGAGGTGCTGGCTGCCATTTTTGGTATGATGCGTGTGGCGGCCGTGTCTGCGATTTTGAGACTGGGAGTTGCTAGTGACTGCTGTGCCTGATGTCCGTCTAGGCGACATGATCAGGTGCCTGTACTCTAGAATTGAGCACAGAGCTCAGAGCAAGTGTCTCATGGATAAATGCCACCGAGTTGCCCAATTCTGCGTGCCCTGTTGTAGGTAACCATGAGTTCTCTCCCAATCTTTCACTAGGGGTTCGGGTACGTTGTGGCTGTGGAATGTTCAATGTGTCAAGCCGAGAACACGAATAGAGATTGACCTGTGAATGGAGTACATGTTAGGTGGGAAACATCTACAAAAATAAAGGAATGCAGAAACGTCACAATGGCAGCACACTAGGGACTTGAGCATGCAGAGCAGCTTTTGATTTCTTTGCTAATGCTATCTTATGGTGTCTAGTTCACCTTCGAACATCCATGCTATCGTAACATCCATCTAAGCAGTTCTCATTTCCCACAGAGCAGAGAAGTGTCACCAGCAGCTTGAGTCCATCTCGAAACCGGTGTCTCCCTCGCACCGTCAGGTCCTAAGATATGTATCTAGGACTAGAGTAGATAAGTCAGTTCAATAGCATCGTGATTATGGTCCAAAGGGGGAAGACGTACAGAGTGCTTGACCTCGCCGACCTTGTTGCTAGCAGCGTCCTTCGCGGCTGAGGCACGGGTGCCTGCTGATTGGTCGGAGTCCTCTGCAATATCTGTATTCTTGGTTAGGCGGTGTGCATGAGTTGAGGTTGCAGAAGCATCAACGACGTACTCTTGTTTCCCTCCTTGCTAGCCTGCTCGCTGGTGCCCTTGACGGATTCGCTGGCGGAGTTGAAGGTACTCTGGGCGGTGTCAGAGGCAGATTTGGCCATGTTCCTGATGAACGAGTCAGCGAAAGATTAGAAATGGAGGTCTTGCTGGTGGGACGTACGATGCGGCGTCCATTTTGAGTGGTTGAAAGTGATTGGGGTTTGGATTGGAATAAGTTTTGTGGTTTGGGATTTGCTTGAGGATGTGTGAGAGTTGGATGTTGTGAAAAGAGAAAGAAAATTTGGCATTGAGGGGGACCTTTTATTTACTCGGTCGTACCTTACCCCGCGCACGTCACGACACGAGTAGGACGACACAAAAGTGGGGTCTTGGCGGGCTAATTGGGCCCCCGTGACCGATTTTCAGGGTCTTGCGCCACAATAATAATGGCGCAAGTAGCCACCACCAATGAAAATGAGGAAAGTGCAAGCGGGGCGGAGTCGCCCGAGATTGGAGGAGAAGTGTGACATACTTCTCTGTTTTACTTTATGAAAAGGCATGATGAGGAATGCATGTTTTTCCAATATATGTGACGTGGACCTCGGCCTTATTTTTTATTTTTCTTCTTTCTTTCTTTCTTTCTCTCTTTCTTTCTTTTCTTTCTTTTTCTTTCATTTTCATTTTCTTTTCCGCTAAGCCTGCCCAACAATTCCTCTGTACGTGAGCCTGTCGAATTATCTTACTTGGAAGCAGGGGCTTCCTTCCGCCGCTTAGACAATCCAATAGAGTAGTATTACGAATCATGTCCCTTCAGAAGGTCGTCTCTCGTACAATGACGACACCCATGGCTCATGGCTTGCAATTAATGACTGTGACGTGTGACGTGTGACACAGGGTCCTGGGTGATGATCTTCAGGCTCCACTGTCTGTCTCCACAGTCTTTGATAGGAGGAGTCAAAGATGAAAGCTTGTAATAGCGTACAGCCCTACACGTCTCCATACTGAACACCACGTCACGGGGAACCGTAGCCAAAATCACATCGGCCAAGAAAGTGTGGAAAGCTTGGCGGCTTGTAAAAGAATTTTGTCGAGGCGAGTCGGAAGGGCGCAGGAGTCAAGCACCAAGCACCAAGCACAGAACCAAAAGAGGGTACTCCAATGATCCCGCATCCTATCCGGTATCTTCTTCTGTATCAACGCCGGCCAGAGGCCCAATTGCACCTTGCCGCCTACTGCGTGCCCATCTCCATCACATTGCACGGACCGCTGCTCAAGGGGTCATCTGGAAAAATCATCGGAAGAACAAGTCATCCTTCCTCAGCGGTACCAGCCCCCTTAGCTTCAGAGCTTTAAGAAAGACCTGGTCCGGATTGTTGCGCAAGGTTCGCATGCCTGCGACGCTGCAATTGGGAAATGTTTCCAGCATAAACTCATGTAGTGCACCACATAGCCGCAAAGTGAGTTGATGATTGTACCGCTCGGATGGAGATCCTGCCTAAAAAAGACGTCACTGGCCTTTTGTGAGGTCTGCTCATGCAGCCGAGGTGAGACTAGACTCGTCAATATCCTACCTGCAGCGACAGTTTGTTCATATCGCTGCGTCAAGATGGATCTGTCTGACAATTCCGGTGGCAGTGGGATGTGCTGTCCCTTGACGACCCATTCCTTCAGCGCAACTGCTAGGAGTGCCCGCAGGAAGGTCAGCAAAGTCATATGAGATTCTACTCGCGCATCAGGCCGTTCCTCCAGGACGGCTTTGACATTATTCACTCCGTAGATCAAACCGCACAAGTTGATCCGAGACACGGAATGGCCAAGTCTAGATACATGGGGCCACTGATTGTACTTCGTGTCCGCTCTATGAAAAAGCGTTGCGGCTGCCGTACTAATCATTCCGAAGATCGACTTGTACGGCAGTTGGCGAGATAGGGGGTTTGATTTGATGGCGCCGCACTTTCATGCCTCTTGTGGCGTTTTCACCGGCCTCCTCCCCACTGTCACTCGTTGGTCAAGAGCAGGCTGAAGATGTCATCACATCGCGGTTCCCAAGTCGCCCGCGTTCGTATAGAACGGTTGGAGCTCGGCTAAAAGAGCGATTAAAAGGTTTGGACGACACACCAGCGGTATTATGTGATGGGCGAGGGAGTGTGATATGTGACCGAAATGTGGTGGCGAAACTGCTGACTAAGCAATTTTGTTAACTGTCGATGACTTCTCGCCCCCCTACAGTCTCAGGCTCCTAATTACGCCAGAGTAAAGAACCCAGCGAACAAAGTACGTCGACTGGTATTATTTGGCTATGGATTTGTTTCATGCTCGCTCCAACGATGACTCAATTGCCACATGAAGAAGTGTCTTTCAAACAGAGGGTCGGCATCAGTCTGTTGCCTTACTCTCTATTTCAACTAATGCAAAGTCAGCCAGCTGTGATGCTTTTCCAGCCTCTGCTTGCAGAAAGTCGGCTACCAGGAGATATATCGATCTCTCAGACGTCTCAGAATCTCGTTTTGAGGGTCACCCTTTCCATTGCTGACCTCATTCAGCAACTGCAACAGCTCAAAGTGAGGCGGTCTTTCTTCCTCCGGAGGCATTTTCCTCTCTTTGCAACAACGGGCGCAACCACACACACCACCGAGTTGAGACTTTAGTCTCAGACGTCTGTCCTTTTCTAACGGAGTGTTAGGGATATATGACACGCTGATCTCCTCGCCCTCTTTGATATCTCGTTTCGCAATCACTGTCACTGGACCGCCTTGGTCGTAGGCTGGCCATTCGGCGGAAGGATCGCAGTCATGATTGAACATGCAGAACAGCGGGGAGATGGCACAGTATACCACGTCGCCTTCTTTGTTGACAAACATGTTGTTTTCAATCCGTAGTATAAGCGTCTGCAACGCCCACGAATCAAAGCGCATATCTTTGAAGACATCGATGCCAAATGTCTGCAGGATTCTAATTGGAGCCACGACATTGGCGTGGAATTTGAAGATTGAACTTGTCCTCTTTTCATAGTTGATCTTTAAGCTCCCGACGCAGGCCACTGGAGGAAGATATCGGAGTCAGCATTGCCTTTTCGGAAGAAGGTTTCAAGCTTTGAGCTCCGCCCTTGGAGTACGCGCTGATCTGATGCCTCTCATGGCTAGAGCTCCAAGTGGGAAAGTAAAGTTCAGACTCTGAAAAGACGTACCTTTGAGGGGTTTTGCATTTTGTTGTACAGCCGTGGCCAGTATCTTCATCAACATAAGCGGGACCATGTCATTAGAGGACTGGTCTGCATCTTTGCTAGCACGATAAAGCCACTCAAAGTCTTTATCACATAGAACCCGATGGTAAGTGTTGACGGCTTCGGTCTTACATGATTCGCTGCAAAACTTGTTTTTGCAACAATTCATAGAGACAATCTCACGGCTAAGTGGCTTAGAGCAAGCCCAGCAGTCATCCTTACCCTGAACATTGAAAACAGTGAAGGCCGACCTATCTGTCACGATTAGATCATCTCGTGTAATATCCTGTCGAGCAAAAACACCAAAGTTATCGCTTGTTGTGCCGCCCAGAGAGCTTGGGCCCAGCGTGGCGTTTCTCGAAGCTGCCTCCAATTTCGTTTTGGCTTTCTTCATTGCTTTGTTTCCGCGTCCCAGTTCCTCAGGATTGATCCAAGGGTAAGCGACTCGTTGAACGCCACCTTGTTTGGTTGATCGTTGCATGTACCCCGGCTTTTGGTGCCGAGCCGGAATCGGCTGCTCCATAGATCTTGATCTTTCTTTCGCCTGCGAGCATAGTTTCTGTAATTCTTCGGACGTACCGCCGAGCACTACCGCCTCATCGAGGACCTGAATCGCGTCGTGGTATGCTCTGACACGGAGCAGAGCCGAAGCCATGACCAGGAAAGCCTGCTGCTGCAGCGATTTGGCAATGGAGACGTTACCGGCATCACATTGTCTAGTAACTCCTGTGTCTAATTTCCCAATAATGCCTGCCAGAGCAGCGCTGACCTTGCACGGTAAGCTGTCCTTGTCAAGGTCCGAATATGCATCTTTGGTGTCGATGACACCTAGAAAGGAGTCTAGCAGAAGACGGCCTTTGTATGCATCTGAAACCGCGAGCTCTCCGTAACCGAGCTCCATAAAGTGACGGCCCCGATCGATCCACATCTTTGGATTGTAAGGGTCCAGACGGATTCCCCGACAGTGCGCTATCAGGACCTTTCCCAGACGCGTCCGAAGGACCTCCTGCGACGAATTAGTCGTGTATTCGCGTGGCATACAAACTTGCACTACATCTTCAATCGGCGGAGGACCATCAATGCTAGTCTGTTTCCACTCTTGCTTGAACACAAAAGGCGCGTCCAGGAGCGCTCGAAGGTAAGCTTGCTCTCCGGGTTCCTTGGCAGCGATGTCGTCTACGCGGTCACACGGATCAGCCGAGCTCTTCACCGGGTGGCAGAGAACGTACCTAGGTCGGCTCCTTCGTAGACGCTAGCTGCCATCTCAGTTGACATCGCGAGCTGGTTGGAGAGAACCCCAATTATGACTCCGTGGAAGCGGGAGGAATCTAGGAATCAGGGAATCCCAGGTGGGTTCGGGAAGGCTAGAGAAATCGGAACGTTAGTCAGCCATGCAGGACGACGAATCCGGCCTCGATGTACGAAAGTACACGGAAGGGATGGGTGCGGGGTGGGAGGATAACAGACGACTCATGAACCCTACGGCTAGCATTCGAAATTCAAAGAATCCATACATTCTGTACAAGTCCACGCGCAACACCCTTGAGTTGAACATCATCGCCTGGGGTTTTATAAACCTAGACGGCCTCAGATACTCCCCACACGCATACATAGTACGAAGAATCGACGGCCACCCCTCCGCGTCTTGATCAAGCCCTCACCTTTCTCAGACCCCCGCAGATGCCTCATGATATGATTCATTCCGCGCTGGCTCATGAGTCGTAACTCGCTCCCATCTCCCCAGCCACACGTCTGGAAAAGCGTGCGTGGACTTATCCTAATTACGTAACGCGGGATGAAAAACGCATTCGAGTGATCATTGGGGACGAAGTTCCTGCCCGGGTAGGTACCCGATGGACCATGGGTATACTTGAGAGCAACCGAAATCGCAGTGTCGGTACGATTGGGTCGAAAGATGGCCGGGCGTGAATAGCATCGTTGGGTTTTAGATGCGGATGCTGGTGTATGAGACGGGGCGGCTAGGTACATCTACCCGTACCTGTTCAGTTGAATATGAGATTTAGTTATGAGTGTGATGTTTGATGATGTTTCTGTATTGGTATCATTTGAAAAAACAATTTTGCAGATCAAATAATATGAAAGAATGGCTTATATTAACTTTGTAAGCGAATCATTTTTATCAATTTTTGAATGAAACGACGTGTGCTGCATATTCTCGTAATTAAGAATCTAGCCCTACGAGTATCTTATCGGGTAGGTATACGAGAATTACAAGTACTCTAGGGCTGAGTCTTTTTTGGAAATATGCCTGTGATTGCTGCGCGTGTCGCACCCACTCACGTGCTGTCTCTATCATTCCTCCCAGTTCAAGCGCGCATCAATCTTCGTACAAAAGCTGTTGGCAAATAATTAACCAGTGTTTTGAAACCTGGGCCCAATCTTCGCTGGAGAAATGCCTATCACGCTCGTGTACATCCCAACTTTACAGAGCTGTTGCATGAATAGCAGAAGATATGTACTCTTTTGGTTCTCCTGCGCATGGGACAGTGTAATAATGAGGTTGATATGAAAAGAAATTGATAGGGGCTTTCAAGCGCCTGTATTCGCTTAGGTTTCGATGTTGGTAAAATGTTGGGGTTTAATACAGTTTAGGGCGGCAGTGAGCGTATTGCGGCACTAAACACGCCTAGAAAGAGAAGTCCAGCCGCCAGGGTTTGCTTTCCGTCTCCCACGGCGTGTGTGGGGTTTCCCCTTCTTGTCTCTTCCCCATTATTGTTTCAGCATGATAGCGGCGTCTTTCTGACAGCTTTCTCATTCTCGCGTTGAGGCAAACCTTTGCTGTCATCTTATAAATGCTTGAGTACTTGATTGACGTTATCTCACCTACCTTCGCCCCATCCCTATCGTTCTAGAAGAACAAAGAACATCTCATCCACCCATAACCATGGCACCCCACAGCACCTCCGATCCAACCCTCGATCCCCACTCCACCATCCCTTCCTATGGCTTCCAACCCGCCGCCACACAAACCAAGTCCCCCCACAACCCCGCCCTCCTCCACCGCTCCCTCGCCCACCAACCCGACACCGTAACCCACGCCTCAGGCATCCACCTCACCCTCTCCTCCGGCCGCACCATCATCGACGCCTGCGGCGGCGCCGCCGTCTCCTGCATCGGCCAGAACAACGACGAGGTCTTCGCCGCCGCCCTGCAGCAGATGCGAAGAGTAAGCTACGTGCACACGGGCGCCTACACGACGTCCTCGGCCGAAGACCTCGCCTCCGTCATCCTCGACGTCGGCGCTCCGTACGGGCTCGAGAAGGCCTTCTTCGTCGGCAGCGGCAGCGAAGCCATGGACGCGGCGATGAAGCTCGCGCGGCAGTTCTTCTACGAGGGCGGGCGGCCCGAGCGTAGGCATTTCGTGGCCAGGAGGCAGAGCTATCATGGCGCTACTCTCGGCGCCATGTCCCTGTCCAGTAATCTCGCGAGGAAGGTGCCGTATGAGCCGCTCTTGCTGAGTAATGTGAGCCATGTCGGCCCCGCGTATGCGTATCAGTATCAACGTGCGGAGGAGTCGGAGGAGCAGTATGTCATGCGCCTCGCTGAAGAATTGGATGGTGAGTTTCAGCGTCTGGGGCCTGAGACCGTCATCGCGTTCGTCGCCGAACCAATCGTCGGCGCAACGTCCGGATGCGTGCCTGCTCCCTCTGGCTATTTCCGCGCCGTGAGGGAGGTATGCGATAGGTATGGCGTTTTGCTGATTCTGGACGAGGTGATGTGCGGCATGGGCCGCTGCGGCTCTTATTTTGCTTTTGAGCCAGAGGCCGTGGTGCCGGATATCATGACCATGGGTAAAGGGTTAGGCGGCGGTTATGCGCCGATTGCGGGTGTGTTGGTTGGTCGGAAGGTGGTCAAGGGGTTGAGAGATGGGACGGGGATGTTCAATCACGGGCATACGTATCAAGCCCATCCATTGAGTTGCGCGAGTGCACTGGCTGTGCAGAAGATCATCAAGAGAGACGGTCTAGTCGAGCGGTGCAGAGACAGGGGTCTGTTTCTCGAGAGGGAACTACGTGAGGCTTTAGAGGGTAGGAAATACGTAGGCGATATCCGGGGCCGGGGCCTCTTTTGGGGCATCGAGTTTGTGCAGAACAAAGAAACGAAGAGGAGCTTTGAGCCGAAGACCGAGTTCGGTTATAGGGTGCAGAGGAAGGCTTTTGATCTAGGAGTTGCTCTCTATCCTGGGGCAGCAACTGTCGACGGGGTCAGGGGTGATCATGTGTTGATTGCTCCGCCGTATACTGTCACAGAAGCAGAGTTGAAGACGATTGTGCAGGTTGTAAGGGAGGCTTATGATGCTGTAGAGTGGGGTGTTGATGAAGTAAGTTGACATAGGAATTGGGAAAGTTGTTGAGAAGATGTTGGATGAAGGGGGGTTCTACCCGTGGACTTTGGATACGAGCGGTTTGTTGCCTCCACGTCCTCTAAAGTACGCTCTCATACTCTTGAAATTTTTGTTGGTCAAAACGTGATCTTTCGAAAACAGGAAAAGATCCGATTACTATCCTCGGATTATATTCAAGGCGAATTGCCAACGTTGCAAATCCATGATCGGTTCAAATCCCTACATCAGATATATGCCCTCAATTTGATGAGCGGGTCTTCGCCCAAGTTTCATCACTCGAGCGTATGGCATCGAGAGGAATCAGTCCTTGTGAGGCTTCGGAGCCTTGCTCCTCGGCACAGTGTCCAAACCGCCCGAAGACTTCACGAAGAAAATATCACCCGGACCCATCCTGGAATTGTACTTGGGGCCACCTCCATACTCGAAAACGAAATTGAGTGGGAATCCGTGGTCAAAGGGCGCAGCCCCGTCAATCTCATCGATCTCTTCATCGCTCAGTTCGATACCCAACGCCTCGATGTTGCTCTTCAGATGCTCTATCTTGCGCCCACCGACGATCGGGAAGACATACGGCGACTTGTGCCTCACGTACGCCAATGCGATGCTGGTGATCAGGGTTCCCTTCTCCTTTGCGAGTTTGTCGAGAGCTGCGGAGACTTTCTTCCCATTTTCGGATTGGCCAACCTTGCGACCTTCGTCCTTCTTCTCGTAATCTTCCGGGCTCATGAACGCGCCTCGGCCGAGTGAGCCCCATGGAGCCAAAGCCATCCCTTCGGATTCGCACATGGGGATGATGTCACGCTCAAAGTCGCGCACTGCAGCGTTCCATAGACCCTGGTAGACGCTGAACTGGGTAAGACCTTGCTGGCGGGCATACTCGTTCGCTTTGCTGACGATCCAGGCCGGTGTGTCGCTGATCCCCAGGTAGAGCACTTTTCCGGACGCAACGACGTGATGCAGCGCTTTCATGATCTCGGGGATCGAAGTGGTAAAATCCCACCAGTGGATGTACAGTAAGTCGATGTAACTCGTCCGAAGCTTCTTCAAGCTAGCCTCAAGGGAGACGCGCAGGCTCTTGGAGGAGTTTCCTAGGTAGTTCGACTTTATCGTCACGGGCTCGGATGGATAAGGGGACGTGAATTTCGTCGCGAGGACGATCTGGTCGCGGTTCCGACGCGACTCCATCCACTCCCCGAGCCACTTCTCGGTCTCCTCGCCTTGGTAGTTGTTGGCCGTGTCGATGAAATTGCCCCCGTTCTCGAAAAAGTAGTCGAGCATGCCGAACGAGGTTTCCTTGTTGCACTCGCCCAGGAAGCCTGACCAGGCCTCGCCGAAGTTCATGGCCCCGAGACATAGCGGGGATACCCGCACACCTGCCGTGGGAGCGAGGATGCGTTGGTAGCCGAGGAGGCTCTTGGGTTTGGGGGCCGGTTGGTGAGCTAGGGTAGCTGCCATTTTGTCTTGGATGTTTGACTGGTATGGATTGAAGGGGATTTCCCTGCGGGAGGGGAAGCGCTTCTTTTCTACTTTCGTTCGTTGACCGAATGCCTTGGCATTGATTGCTCGATACTCGTATCTACCTGCTCTTAAATCCGATAAATCCGGCGCAACATCCAAATGCCTATATCTTATGAGAACTCGATATAATGATATCAAATGACTCGTCAATGTTCGTAAAATTTATTGTGTGAATATAGTTAGTATAGAAAAGAGAGTTTCGAGGTTTAAAAGAAAGGGAGTAGATTAGGGTGGGTTTTAGGGCATGTCACGCCGAAAACTCGCCCGGAACCCACCGCAATCCGCGGGTTATGAAGTTTCGGATTTGTCGGATTTTAGAGTGTGTATATCCGGGTAAAGTTGATACGAGTAAGCGCATATTTCGGCATTGATGCTCACGCTTATCAAGCAA